TAGCCAATAATTTTCTATAACACTGAATCAGGGTAGAGAATTAAAATTCCTCCTATTTGACACATACAATATTTATACAATATTTAATGTATTTCATGTATTTCATTTCTTTATATTATCTAATTTGCTACATAAGAATAGTAGTTTTTAATATTTTAAAATTCTTCAAACCAACTCATTCAAAAATGATTATCTTTAGAATTAATATTTACATTTAGGAATAGTTATTATCCTTACATTTAACATTCGCATTTAGGAATAGTTGCTAGACAAACCACCATTTTAATCGATATTCCAAACTAAGGACTAATATTGGTGAACTGGAATTTGACTAAGGACATCTTTCCTCGTTTCCTCGTGGGATCGATATTCGGGGCTTAATCAGAAAGTCCTATATTACTTGAAGCGATACGTGCACTTGCGTAAAACCCATAGATTGTGAACTATTTACTATATTTTATAATATTTGAATTTTGTATATTAGCTGCTAAATATAAATTGAGTCAAGTTTTTTGTCGTCTTTTGAAAGCTAAATTACTGCGTAATTACGGATCGGGTCAAGTTCTTGACACCGTCTCAGGGGAATTGAATTGACATAAAACACGCAAAAAAACATCATGCATTAGGGGCGCATCAGCACACTATCTATCTTTGGGAAATTTCTCCTTCGTAGTCTTTCCCACTTCTCGTTTGTTGCATATCCATGCTCACTGCACCACCTTTTAGGATGTTGGATCATAATTTATCCTTTGTGAATCATGCTCTAAGAGTTAGAGCCGAGTGCAGAAGAGAAGGAAAAAATAGTAGAGTAAGTTTGAAATTTTTGTAGGGAGAATCTAGGGAGAGACGTCTTTTTATTCATATTTTTGCCCGTACTTATAGAAACGTGTTTTATACAATTACATAAAGGAGAAAACTGTTACAAAAATCATTCATAATGCCATGGAAACTCTAATTAATTGCATAAATTTTATGTCATATTTGCATTACAATTTGAATTTCAACATTGACGGTAATTGACTGGTCGACCGGCTTGTAATTGACCGACTAAGGTGACTGGCCGAGTGACATATTAGCTCTCTGAAGTACGCGTTGGTCGGTCGAGGTGTTCGGCCGCATGACGCTCTTGCTCGGTGTCTTTTGGCACGGTCAACCAGAGCAACATGTTGAGTGATAGTCGTTCAGTCTGGATGTTGGGTTGGTCGGTTGAACGTGATCGGGCGGTTTTTTTTCGTTGAGTGAGTCGTGGCATATTTTTTGTTCGACTCAAGTCTTACAAAACTTGTGTCTCGCCGGATCTCCCAATGTCGAAAGGTCTTAGGCAGATATTGTCACAGCCTGTACGAAGCATCCGACGAGACTCGCTGCCAGAATGATTTGTCTCATTTTTTACGGCTATTGCCGCTACCGAGCGAGAAACCATCTCCAGAATTTGAACATATCCCAGGTTTGTAGATGCGACCCTGTTCCTCGCCCTTCATTGTTCGCCCCGTTCTTTCCGCTTCTTTGATGAGTTGTTAGATGATTCTGACTTACCCTTCATGGAGCTTTGGAGGTCTTCTTCGGCGAGTATTTGTTCGTTTGCAATCTCCAATACTTCTGCGAAAGTGGTAAGTTTAAACAGATTTAGGTCATACATGAATTGCTTCCTTCGGACTTCTTGCTTCAAGGCTGTTCTAACTATTTCCGGTTTCAAATTTCTAACTTCCAACATCTCGTTCCAGAAGCGGGTGATGTAGGCCCGTAGGCTCTCATTTTCCCTTTGCTTGAGGTTGAGCAGGGTGTCTGAGTCTTTAGCTTCTACATGTTCGAGAAGTGCGAAACGAAGAATCTCTTAAACTCGTAGTAACTCGGGATATTTTGGTCGGCAAACCGTTGAACCATCGGAGGACCAACTCTTTAAGGGTAGTTAAGAAGAGAGGACACATTATTGGGTCGTCAATCTGGAGCAGATCGAGAGATGTTATGAACGACGTGACATGGTCAATCAGGTCGGTCCTCTCTTTGTAAGAATTCAAGGAACAGATGGAAGAGTGGAATATGTCTAGAATTTTTGTAGAGAGAATCTAGGGAGAGACGTCCCTTTATTCATATTTTTGCCCCGTACTTATAGAGACGTATTTTAGACAACAAGAAAACTGTTCTAAATTTTATGTCATATTTGCATTACAATTTAAATTTCAACATTGACGGCAATTAGCTGGTCGACTGGCTTGAAGTCAGCAGACTAAGGCATGACATATATGCTCTCTGAAGTACGTGTTGGTCGGTCGAAGTGTTCGGCCGCATGACGCTCTTGCTCGGTGTCTTTTGGCACGGTCGACTAGAGCGGTAGGTTGAGAGGTAGTCGTTCTGTCTGGACGTTGGGTTGGTCGTTTGAACGTGATCGGTTGGTTTTTTTCGTTGAGTGAGCTGTGGCGCATTTTTCGTTCGACTCGAGTCTTACAAGACTCATGTCTCGCCTGTCTGGTTCGTTGTCTCGTCGGATCTCCCAATCTCGCAAGGTCTTAGGCGAATTTTGTCGCAGCCTGTGCGAGACATCCGACAAGACTTGCTGCCAGAATGATTTGTCTCATTTTCAGCGGGTATTGTCGCTACCGAGTGGAAAATCATCTCCAGAACTTGAACATATCCCAGGTTTGGAGAAGCGGCTTCATGCTTGGCCTCAAATAGTTAGTTGATTGCTTACCTTGAGAAGAGGCTCTTTCATCTTAGTCATTCATTCTCTTTGAGATTCATACTAGTATTTTTGGTGTATACATGTGTATTACATAAGCATGCTTTATATAGGGAAAATTTGTTATGTAGGAACAGGGATTGCTCTGCAAGTAAAGAAGTTGTCGGTGTAGAATATTCTGGAAAGGTTTTCTTATTCTACTACTTACATGTATTAGGCAGTTGTACAGGGAGGGGAGAAAAAAATGCTAGAATTGCAATTATAAGATTCTCAGAAACTCCAAAAAAATTCAATATGTATTCATTCTATTATAAGATGATAGTATGAGTTGAGTGATGGATGTATCATATCTTTAGAATATAAATTTTCAACAAATCTATATTGAGATAAACATTTCACACATACAAAGTCAAATTCATAGCTCACAAATTGTTAAACTACAAATAGCCTCTCTGAATGAAAAACACAAATATGTAAAATATAGACAAATGATAAGTTAATAGCCGTCTAACAAAGATTTCACATAGAAAATCAAGATCATAAAAGAAACACAAATTAAAAATAGCAGCAACCAGTCCGACTCATTAAATTCTTATTTAGCACTCATACAAAACAAAGGAGAAAATTTTCTTCTCTTGAAAATAGAAAGAAAATTCATAGTGTTCATCACTAATTATATGATACTCAAATTCTAAATAATGTTCATTTTGTGGCACATAAAATATTAAAACCAGACTCCAGAGCAAGTAAGATATTCTCCTCTAAATGCACCTTCTTTCATGAAGATCATTCTCAACCAAAAGCATTAACCAACTAACATTATTGTGGCTCTAAACAATAAATTGAAGTGTTCATAATAAAATGAACATATACCCAGATATGTCTATCTTCTAAATTCTATATACTAATCGAATCATTTTTGAATTGGCAACCATTCTCACTTCCCCAAGACAGATCTGCTAGACTATAAAAAGCCACGAGACCTTTCATACGGACAAGAACAAATCTTCGAGCTTTTCTACACCTTAATATTTCATAGTGAACTTTAAGTTATTTGTAAGAAGATTTGTGACAACGCCAGTAAAAACTTTAGCTGGGGCTGATGACCTATAAGAATGGAACTTAATGATTAAAAAATTAAAAAATATTGTTTAGTCAAATATAAAAGCTTCAAACAATATATTTTCATAGCCTACGGTCATGGAGAATGACAAGGAAAATCAGGACGTTGAGTTTATAAACGTTTAGTTTTGCAAAATAATGCAAGCTAAAAAAGTTTAGCATAGCATTACAGACTAGCCATATAATTTGGGGACTATTTCTGTTGAGTATAATAATTGAAAAATGATCTTGGGTGCCGGGCTAAAATAATGGCTCCTGACACATAAGTGATTAAGAAAGAGTAAAGCCAAACTCAGATCGATGAATTAACAACGTAAATTAATAACGGATGAAATGATGGCCTGATGGTTGGGCATTTACTCCTGCACCGAAAGGTCCCATGCTTGAAGCTTCCAACCTCAAAAACAATAAAATAAATAAAAGCATCATCAATTAAGATGATGGTAGTTTTTTGGAGTGTGAAAAAAATACCCTAATTATAGTTTTGTGAAGAAAATTTTCCTAAACAAAGCCACTAAGAACCTCCACTATAGAACATACAAGAATTATTTTGCACATAATTCTTCATTCCTTGTTAAAAAAAAAATTAAATGGTGTCCTTTAGACAGAATAATTCACAAAAACTTCGAAAACACAAGATTGATGGCAAAATCTGATTTCATGGATAAGAAAAACAAAAAATACACAATTTTGAACTGAATGAACAAAGATCAGAGAATAAATAAAAACACTTAACAAGGAAAAGGGGTTACAAATCAACATGTTAACAGAACAACATGTTAACAAAACAACATGTAAAAGTGTTCGCTTAGATGAAAGGTTAAACCAAAAGCCAAAATTTGGAAACCCAACTTGCAATATGGAAAAAAACAATAAACACCACCGCCAACTTGATAGCTTAGGACATTCAAGGTCCCCTGCAGCTGGTATTATAATATAATAAAATTTATGATACACTTATTAGATAAACAGCTAGAATGGGAAGCATCAAATTCAATGTTATGTAGTTAAGTCGGCTCCTTTGGTGCATCAAATTAGAAAGCATATTTGAAAAGTGTGAATTTCCTGGATTTCATCATTCACCAGCTTGTAATTTTAATTTTAAGTTCTAAAACTCCAAACTCCCTCAACACATACTTTCCATCTACAAACAAGCAAATAATCCAAAATTTGGAAAGGTAGGCACTATAAATACACTTACTTCATGAACATGCTTATCAAGAGACTTGAGATACAAGTTGGCTTCACTGTGATCACGGATTACATCAGTACGAAATTCACCGATTGATCTTTCAAGCTTGTAGCAAAACAACTCCAACTGTGTTAGCCTCCCGCTGATTCCCTCAAGATGAATCGTAAGCTTGTCTGAATATTTTTTCATGAACTTTTCAATGATGTATATTACATCTTCTCTAGAAAACTCCTCTGATCCATATATATTAGCTGAAGGGCTCCTCACTCTGTTCTCGTGGAGATCCTGTTTGGTGAGCAAAAAAATAAAACCATTACTAAAAATGACACATGTAGCAAGTAGGTCAGAGAAGTTGCCACTCTTAGAACAACAACCAGAGTATTAGCGTTGTTTGTTCTCAGATTTTAGGAAGCATTTAAGAAGGATTTAGCATATAACATGCCAATCAGAATTTTTTAAATTTAAATCATGTTATTTTGAAATACCCAATTTTAAGCTGGGTATTTGCTCAATCTAGAATTTTTGAAATCACATCATGGAAACTTTAAGAACATTCATTCAAATAGATCCTATATCCTAAAAAAAAATACTAAAATTTTATCCCAATTTGACAAGATGTAACGATTATCATGCCAAACACTCCTCTTAAGATTTACAAAATCTAGATTACCATGATTTTATCAAATCCTAATAGTTGCCAAACAACCTATTTATAGATCGAATGCAAACTGAGTCTATGAGCATATTTTTCTTTTGTCCTTTTCGCTAGAAGTTCATTAAACTAGTCTCCCCTGAAAATAAAAGGATACAATCAGGAGATCATTTTTTTAAGTTAGGTTAGAAATTACTAGCTAGGGTCTGCTTTGAATAGACTCTAACAATTCCACCACATCAGGAGATCAACTTCAAAGACTATTTCTCTGGAGGGAAAAAAAAAGCCATAGAAGTTTGAGTCCATTTATCCCATTGCGGACTATTCAACAAGGTGTACACTAAAAACAAATTAAGACAAAGAAGCACAGCTAAATGACAAGAAAAATGACTCGTACTCTGCCAAAAAATGAGATGTGTTTCGAGGACACCAAACGAACAAAAAAATTTCAAAATAACGAGCATGTATAACGCCTTTTAAGTAATTCGATCAATCCACACTCAATTGTGCTTATGTAATTTCCTAAGTTTCCCAAACGAGACTTCTAATCCAAAAGTCTAGCAGATCAAAGTATTTTGCTAATTCCTTCCCGATCAGTAACACAAAAAGAGCAGATGGGCTAGTCGGTCCTCACCTTACTCGACGAATCAAAACGCTTTCCATTGGCCATTGGATCCAATTTCAACGTGCAGTCATCGAAAAAACACAGCACGTCATCGGATCCAAAATCAAACGATCTCGAACCCGCCGCTGAGTGCACCGAGGACCCACCGGAAGCCATCGAGATGCCGAGATTAGTTTTAGAGTTAGGGTTAGGGTTCCAGAGTTCAACGGAGAGAAGAACGGCGTAGAAGCAGATCTCAGGCAGCCTCTTTTCCTTCTTCAACCAAAAAGAAACACATGCGTCTTCTCGCCGCTGTCAGTTTATAAGTAGAGCCGCATAAGCTGTACCTTATCGATGATTTAGTTATCCGCAGCCGTTAGAGAAAATGGACTAGCCAGCTGTTGATGTCTGAAAGGTGAATACCCAGTGGGAACCGTGCGATGTCTGGGAGTACGAGAACTGCGATGCAGTTGAAACGCGGAAACGTGACTTTTTGGTCGGTGTGGATAAGCATTGGGAGAACATCAACAACTTTTACACGTGTCCCACGTTTTATTTTTTTATAGCAAAAGATATATTTACGTTTTATAATTATTCAATTATATTCTCTTATTCATTTAAAAAAATGTAGAAATACTTACATACATATTACACTATTTTTATATATTTATGTATCTAACATCTAATTGTATTCCATTTTAAAGTGATATTTTTTATATAAAGATTTGAGTGTTAAATGTGTAAATATAAAATTTTATGTGCTATTTATGTAAATACATAAGAATTATGTACCCAGAATTATAAAGAATTTGGCAATACATTATCAAAATTAGATATCTCTTAACACATAATCACGCATTTCGATGCACATGCATTAACATAAAAAAGGTTATGTAATATAAATAAGCAAAATTATTAATATTAATTCATCTAAGTTTGTTAAATCATTTAAGAGCATGGACTTGTGGAAGAAAATTATTCCTTCAATGTGTCGCAAGACTTTTAGTCATTTTATTAGCTTTGATTAGTGTTTACCGAACTCTATTTCAACTGATCCTACTAACTCTTTTTACCCACATATGTTTTGATGGTTGGTCTCATGGCTCACATTAACTCACCTAACTAGGTTGGTCTATGTTACTAACTCTTATGACCGCCTCTATAAAACATGATAGGAATACGTCACCCATCCTTGGCAGTTATTCTTGCTCTGATTTTGCCACCTATTCCTAAGCAATTAGCTTACTAATTATTATTATTTTTTGCTTTGATGTAAGTAACACACTCAAACTCATCATATTTGACATAAGTTCAAAACATATACTAGATATCATCATTCTATAATGGCTCTCTGACGCAAATATAAAGCTACACTGAGCCTCAATCACGTATTAGTGATGAGACTATCTTGCTTACAATTGCAAAAATGTTCAAGACATACTGGGCTATCATCACTCTATAATACCTCTCTGATGCAAAGTACAATTAGACTACCCTAGGTTTCAACTAAACATTAGCTGTCAAATTTCCCTTCACACGGTATAACTGCCATTAGATTCTCAAGGTTTCTCACATAAAATTTTTTTTTTTCATCGTGGAAACTTCAAAATGTATCAACGAAGTCAGTACCCTCAGCAAGTATGGGTACATCTTCCTTCTCTTTAGGAGAAACCTTTGTTAAAATATGAAATCTTCCTTTAAAGGAAGTGAGCCTTCACCTTCTCTATTTTATATTCTTTATCCATTACTATGCAACACCTTGTGACAAGCAAAGCTAGGGACATTTTTTTATAGTATGTTACATGCTTATTACTATAATGGATTCTACTCTTTCATCTCAGACTTACATTCTAAAGCCTAAAAAAGTATGTTTGCATAATTGTATGTCTCTAGAATGATTTTTGTCCATTATTAATCCATCCTTTACACCTTTCAAAATGATCTTAAGAAATGTTTTTCTATTAATTAATTAGGGAAGTATGCCTTGGCTAGAGATCTAATCCACTATTCACTTTAGTTTAATGCTACAATATTATCAAGAAAAATATTTATTCATTTACAAATTTTTATTGAGATCTTGTCAAATTGATGGCCTCTAAAGCTACTGAAACTCATCATCCTCGATGGGTTAGCTGGCTCGTCAACAAAAAGACTTACAATATTATGCTTGCAGTGCCTCTTTTATCTTTGACGTCATGGGTGAGGATAATGGTGATTATCTTTGCCTATAATATGAGGAAGTTAATAGCCTATTAAGTTAACGACTTCCTAAAAACAAATCCATAAAAATGACACAAATTCATAATTATCAATAAAGACAAATCTTTTTAACTTAAGTGCTTATAATATTTTTTTTCTTATTGCATTATGTCTATCTCAGCACCACATTTATTATCAATTTACAAGCATTTTTAAAGCTCCTACAATGCATTACAGATAACTAAGGGAAAAAAAATCTAATGGATGGTCATCATGATTTGGCATGAGCCAATAAATTCACTATAAAACCCTCATATAAACATCACCTCCTAGTTAGCCACTGAAAAAAATTGGATGTGGCTTTTTTTAGGTATTTTTTTAACTAGTTACACCTCCATTTAAAGGGAGCCCACCTCACTCCATAAAACTCATTAACTATAACTAACAAAATAAAGTTGCATAAATTTTCTAGTGTAATGTTTTTTGGACCTTAATATGCCTAAAAATAAATATTCTACTCTAAATCTTTTTATGATCATAGTGATAGTTGTAGATCAATTTGACTTTTTTCCCACTTGCCATTGGTAAGTGGCATCAATGTGTTTTGACTCCTAAGGATACTAAACTTACCAACTCTTACAATACCATATAAGTTGATCCTCAAACTACCATGGTCTTTTCCTTGATATTCGAGCCATTTTTAGTTACTTTTTTTTTTCCAAAAAAGCTTTTAGAGACAACTAGTGCTTAAAAATGTTTTCACCCGAGATTCATAACTAATTGATACTAGAAGATCAATTGTCTTTGATCTATTCAATTTATCTAGAATATATTGATTGGAAAATTCAAGTTGTCGCACTATCTTGAATAATATGAAAAGTTTTTTGTGAAATTAGCTCAATCTTGGTTGCTTGTAATTAGATGGTTAAATCATTGAAAGACTTGTTCAATTAATAAAAATAGTTTACTAACAAGTTTATTTTCCTCATATTTCTTTCTAATAAACATATTTTAAGAAGCTTGTTTTCCCAATTCGAATGATGTTTTGATCTTGTAATCAAAGCTCATAGCAAATACAAATGCCCAAGGTAGGGATATCTCAAATTTCACCTTAATAAGTTGAATTTGACATTTCCTTCTTTTCATTTATTAGACATGTCAGCAACATCTAAAGATTTAGCTTACTATAAGTTATTATTGTTCATTGGTGATTTCATAAGCATTTATTACATCCTGAACAATTACCTCAATGAATCTATTATTATCAACACTTATTCTTCTAACTTCTTACAACTAATGTATTGGAAAAGCCAACTTTCTAACTTATACCACATGATAATCTTTTTCAATAGTGGTCACTTCAGTTGTGCTCTCACTGTGTATGTCACTCTAGAAGAAGTCACAATTATAGATATAAAGCTTCATTCTTTCAAAGATTTAGGATTTTGTGAGATCTAACTTAAAGACAAATGCCTTCATATGGTGAGTATCCGAACTTGATAAAAAAATACTAAGATGTTATAAATATCACAAACTTAGATGTTATAAATATCATAGACTCACTCACTCCTCAACTAATGGTGGTGTAAAAGTCACCAAAATAGTTGGAGCCAATACCAACAACATAAGTGATGCTTCTTTTTCCCCAATAGAGGGACAATATGGTGCTTTCACCTTTGTCTTGTTCTTTAGCTAAAATGATAATTCTACATTCAATAGTTCCAAACTTGAATTTCTTTGCTACTACTTTAATTTTAATTGACAAAACTTTGACAATAAGCTTTTCCTCTTCTAATCTTCCTCTATACCTCTATTTCAATAAAAAAAAAATAATGAAATTACAACCCAATCAAAGCAAATGATGCACTTGCAAGAGAACATAAATAAATATAATAAAAAAAACTTAAAGTGTAACTATTTGAGTAAAAATTTTGCCCAAAGTTGTATTTTAATAGGAATTTAACTTTCAATGAGATAATTTAATAAAATCTTGCATCATATAGAACTTTGAAAATTATTGTGACTTAGGCTTTTGATATATTTCACTTTCTCATTCTTCTTTACTTTAAAGGTGCAATAGAATCAAGAAACATATATGCACACATACTCACATGTTATCATGTTGATTAAGTTTCTCGAAAAACTTCAAACATGTTCAATAACTCAAAAAATAAAAATAAAAATAATAATAATCAACTCATGTTTATTGAGAATATATATATATATATATATATAT